AAGAAAATAGAGCAAATATGAGAATCAATGGAGAACTGAAAATAGAAACCTATAGGAAAATTATGAAGATGGTTTTGGCACGCAAACAATTTCTAACAAACTATACATATTCTTTTTCTTTATTATTGTTTGTGAAGAACCAATCCTGCAATGCATTTCCTTTTCTAAGTAACTTTTTTCAGTACTGGAAAGGCAAGGACAAAAGGCCAGAACCTCAGGCCCCGTAAATTATGTGGCTTGATGGGCCATAATAACACTGTTCTAATAGGAAGCACAAAAAAAATCAAAATCCTGATGTGCTACAATGTAAACCCAGGATTTCTACTGTTTGCAGTGAACTTGAGAATTCACTTAATGAGAAGCTTCATTAACACACAGCAGATATTTTATTATACAGGTTAAGAGAACAAAAACCCAGCTCTCACACAGAGAATGAACCTTTGAGGGCCCCAGCAGCACTTTGTGACCAGAGGCCGAGTGACAGGATGTGCCAAATGACACCGCTGCAACTTCCCTGGGCAAAACAAAGGCACAACTCTCCACATGACAAAGGTTAACCACGTACAGAGACATGTCCAGGCTAACAGGAATGCCAGGTTACAAAGGCTTCACTGTAATTTCTCCTCAGTTTTGGTTCACTGTTAACAACGTGACCCCTGCCACAATAGTCATCGCCATTGTCAGCTGTCACAGCTCAGTGTTCTGGCTGGCCAGCACAGCTCTTTCACATCTTTCCGTGCTCACAAACTGATACTTTCAGGCAAAATTTAATTAATAATCTGCAAGATCTGCATACATAGTTACACCTCTTCTAACAAAGAATCTAAAGTTCTCTTTTATAAGTGGCAAGCCCAGATCATTTTAGGGCACATCATCCTGGAAAAAGTAGCATATCCTGCAAAAGTATAGAAAGAAAGAATTCTTTCTATAATAGAAAGAATTATACAGCATCTCTGTTTACTTGGAGATTCAGGTTGGTTCAGGCTCCTACAGATCCCCCAGTTCTGCCCACCTCAAAGGCAATTATCCCACCTCCAGCTTGCCCTTTGATAGAATAAGTATTGCAGCAGGATTTCTTACTCAGGAGCTGATACTTCTTGAGACATTTAATTTTAATATTCCTTGTTATTTATGCTTCAGCTGATTAAGTAAATTAAATAGCCAAAATATTTACTAACCAGTTTAGTACAGAGTACCTGTTTAGTACAGAGTACCATCCCCCATTTTCTACTAGATGCTCTATTTTGCCCATTCAGATTTTTCACAAGGATCCTCAAGGAATAAGAAGAATAAAAAATATACATTCAACTTTCATTATCAGCTTTAAAATGCAGTTCTACATCTTAAAGGCTTTAGAACCAGGCTTCTTTGGTTTTTATTCTCTGTGATGGCTAGGAAAGAAATAAACACATTCAAGAGCTGGAAAATATTCCTGGTATACAATCTATTTACAAAAGGAAGAACACAGCTCAATAGTTTTGCAAAAGTAGTGTCTTTAAGTAAAAGTGGTTAAGCTTAAACCACCACTGTTTAAGGAAAAGCACTTTTCTTTGGGTTTTTTTTTTCCCAGTGTATTATGCACAGGGAGTTGCAATGAATTGCTCTCGACATTAAAGAGAAGATGATCAGTAAAATGTTGTGCACATCTTCCAGATGCTGGCAATATAACAGCACAAAGCAATAAATACACTCTACTTACTGACATGGTCTTTGTGAATACCTGTCAAGGGTGGAACATACCTGAGATGAAGTCTCTGCTCCACAGTTCTTCTAACCATTAAAAAACAAAAAGAAAAAAAAAAAAAAAAAAAAAAAAAAAAAAAAAAAAAAAAAAAAAAAAAAAAAAAAAAAGCAGAGGTTGAGATAAAGAAACAGAAATTCAAGTGGTAATTCTGCAGCTCAGAGAGATAGGATGCTGCTGAGCTGAGTGATTCCTGGGAGCTGAGACAAAGTTAAACTCAAAAAAAAAAGTCAAACTCAAAATGAAGTTTAACTCAGTAAACTCAAAAATAAGTTTAACTCAAAGTTAAACTTAAAAATAAGTATTACTTTGCCACATGCATGATTTTATATACTGATTGTGCCTTCAAAGGTGGTTCTTACACTGCCATCTATGGAGCACCTCTGCTGAACGTGACACTCAGAGATCCATCTAATCCTCAACTACATGAAAGAACAAGTTAGATTTTATTTTAATCCTGATTATTGTACATTATCAGCTGCCTGAATTTTTTTTAAGATTTGCAACTAGATTAATATATAATAAAGTTTATGTGCCTCTCGCTTGGGTATTTGTTCACCTACCAAATTCATGGTTATCAGGAGCATTTTAAGATAAGTCAAATAGACTTAGGTGCTATGAAATACTTAAGAGAAAATCCATCCCAAAAGTGCAGCTTCAAATAAGTTCATTAAGAATATGGACATCTGAATACAACAGCAAACGTTGTGTTATATTTCTTAATTAATAATATTCTGTATGGATTTGCTATTAATGTGGTAATCCTGTATCACAGACCAGAATGGGCACCACAGCCCTGAATTCCATCTGAGGCCTCCTTTGCACCAGCAGGGTCAGGGGGAAGGAGCTGACCAGCTGAAATTGATATCTTTTCCCACTCTATTATCCGCAGTGTAAATTGTTTTCATATTCTGATCTTTTGGAAGGGGCAAAATCTCCTCTCACAACACTGTATGCACACAGCAACGTGAGGAAAGAAAACCATGCTGCTCTGCATCAAACATCATTAATGCACATTTAATATGGAAGTTACTATGTAGCAACAATCAATTACTAAAAACACACATTAATTTCTGTCCCTTTCCACACGTTAATTAAATAACATCCTTTCAAAATTTGTGTTTCTATTAATTCTTCTCAAAAAATCTTGGGAGCACGTTGATTTCTGCAATGTTTTTCAGGTGGTGGGAGGTTCCTGACAGGTGCTGCTGCTCACAGCTCCTCTATTGTCTCTGAACTCACTCACCTGCATGAATTTATGTGTCCTGAATCATCAAGCAGTGGCATTACAATTATGGAGAACTAAAATTCCACTGTATTTAGGCTCCCATTAATTAGTTCCCTTGCTTATATGATTTCCTTGTTAACTTTGCAGAAGGCTCTGGAATACCACTATTAGGCAATACTAAAAATGTGCACAGAAGCCATCTCTTAATATCACATCACAAATTAAATCAGCAGCACCACTAAGCATTTGCAAATATGCATTCCGTTATGGAGGCATCATGATGCATTTCTGACTTATTTCAGTCACTTTCCATAAACATTCCAATGAACACATTTATTTTGACACAAATAGGCACTGCAAAATACCAAAAGTGATGTGAGTAATGATGTGGCCATGCAGCTGCATAAGTGCTTATGTTAGATGTCTTTGTGTGTATACTGAAAGCTTTTTGTGGAATTATGGCTCATCAGAGCATAGTACAGGAAAAAAAAAATTGTTATTCAATATATTATTGCAATTCAGACATATTCAATATATTATTGAAATTCAGAATTCCAGAAATAATTTATTTGTATTAAAGGCAAAAAACCCACAAAAGCATAGATTGAAAGTGGCATTAGAGAGGTGCCTTAAGACTCTAACTCCATTTTAGTGGAAACTTTAGATAGGTAAACTATAATTTGCTAAGTGAATTTGCACTGTGATCAGGATACTAGGGCATGGCAGCTAGTAATAATTCCAAACAATTCTTTCAATAATGCCTGGTTTTATTTAATATACAAGCTTGTCTTTTTACATCATACTATCTTCACCTTTCCGATATGACCGTTCTATTTAAAACAGTTTAATAAATATATTTATAGAAATGACAGACAAGTATTAGCTGTTACCATTCCTTTAAAATGTGCAAACTTATTTTTAGGCTGATAAATTTAAATTTGAAAAGACATGCATTTCCCATCAAAACATTTTACTACAATTTTATGAGGTGTTTAGATTAATTAATCCTGTAAATCTTTCTTTGATAGTTTAGTAAGTGTGCGCTGCAGAGTAGGTGCATTTAATTTAACTCCATTTTGTCCTGTTTCCTCAAACTAATCCAGTATCCCCTAACATGAAACTGATAATATTTTTGTCCAGTTATTGCTATCAAATAATAACAAACTCAGATCTTTGTGCAGCAAAATATGCCAACATCCATTTGAATTTGAGCATGGAGTGTTTTTTTCCTGTTAAAATCATTATGGATGTCCACATGATTAAATCTAAGCAGGCCACCAAGTGGTAAACTGGATCAGGGCCCAAACATTTAAAGGAAAAATCAATCCTTTGAAAGCCACCAAGAAATCCAAGTAGAGAAAGTCAGAGTTCTCACTTACCAAGATTTAGGAGAAGAGTCAAAAATGACTAACTGGAATCAATTTGCACATATTGTATGCACTGTATTTAGATCACACAAATTACTTCATATTAACAAATCAATACTTCCATTCATTGCAAGTTCCAAGACTGATTATCCCTTGCAACTCTGAAAAGACCACAGAGCATTTCTATCCATTAATAATTCACACAAGGATAAAAGCATTCTCTAGGCATATAGATTAAAACAGATACTTATAAATAAATACTTATAAACTTATACCTTTGATTAATACAAAAGCTAAACTGAAGAGCATTCAGGAACTTGTTTTGCAAACAACCAAAGAAAAATTGCAGTAGTGTATTTGTAGATTCCTATTCTGTTGCTGAGCTATTCAGAATCTTCCCTCGTAGCAATCCCATCCCTTTGTAAGCAGTGACTATTATAAATACATTAGGTGAGCAAAATTTGCTTATTTGGAAATGACCACATGAGCTACATAAAAAAAAAAAAAAAAAGAAAATGAAATTAACAGAAATTCCTGGGTTTTAGGCAAATAATCCAGATGGAATAGGATAGCAACAATTCCTGACACAAAAATACATCCAAATGGCGCGTGTAGTAGAACGATGTGTTGGCTGGGATGAAAATTGGAAAACATCGGTTTTAAGCAGAATGCCCTCAGTGAGAATATGGCCCTCAGTACCAATACAGGTGGGTGCAAGCTCATTCTGTTTGCTGGCAGAATGGCTCTCAGCTGAAGGCTGTGAGATTGCATTACCTGGGAGCCGAGCTAACAAGCCCACTGAGAGCTGAAGCCAATGCCTGCACGTCCAGGGCTCTGCCTGCATGGCTGTTCAGCTTCCAGACCAGACCCCTCTCATCTCTCACCTCCTGAGAGAATTGCTTCTCATTCTAGGCCAAGTCACTTCATCTTTTTGCTTCCCCTCCCACTTGCACATCTTTCCCACTCGGTGTAAAAGCTCTGCAGAGCGACGCAGGCACGATTTCAGCTGGGACTTCTGGATGCTTCTGCAATGTGAGCAGCAGCAATAAATCGGGGGAGGATAATAGAAGTGTCAAGCGAGTCCTAAGTGCAGCAGCAGAGCTGTAATGTACTGTAAGACACCCTGCATCTCACACCATCCTTCAAGGACTTTGCACGCTGTGGTTTATTCCACTGCAATAATAAATGTAGCCATGATGCATCTCCAAGTATTAGCCAGCGTTGAAAATGAATCACAGTAATGTTACCTTCGCTTCTCTCCAGCAAGAAGATAATACTTTTGTGGATGTGATACCACTCTGTATAGTTTTTGACAAACTGGAAATGTTTTAGTGAAATAAGGCTGCACGGGGAGCACATGATTCATTCTGAGGCAGCAACACATAAGAAGACAGTGCTGAAATCACTGTGGCAATTCAATTCATATCTGTTTAGTTATGCTCATTCATTTTGCTATTCCTAGCAGTTCTAGATTCCCACAGAAAGTTCCTTTGCAGCCCCTCCCGTTCCCCATGATCAATGCTTTCTGGGAGGTGCTGCAAGCTCCGTAGGAAATACCAGCAGGTGTGTGTATCACTGGCTCATAGGAAGACTGGAGAGTAATCAATGTGTAATTTTTCATTCTCCATTAAGTCAATGGTGCCTTTTCAAAATCTGATATTATCTCGTTTCTCTCACAAATCAACAAACCTGGTTGCTTGTAATCTCATGAATGTTACTGCGAAGAGAATAAGGGAATCAGTACCATTTTCTATTCATGCTTTTGCTTTTTTTCTGGATGTTTGCTCAGGCCACAATACTCTTCATTCTATTTCAGTAGCTTGGGCTGATGTAATGTTTCATGACTTTGTAAATCCATCTAAGTATCAATTGTTCTCCTAAAACCTCAGTAAATTCTGCCGTGTGGCTGTTTCAATGTTATCTACTAGTTTAGCAATGCTCAAAAAAAACCACACATTTATCAGTCTCAGGGTCCTCTTTATAAATCAGTGCCAACAGACATTGCAGGGAACAGCATGTTGTGAGTCTGAACACCCTGTAGTTTAACCAGTATTATCTATATCATCCCAAGAAAATTTGGTATGTTCCCTGAGTTCCTACTCTACAAAAACACCTTTCTCTTCCATACTACTGATCTCATCTATTAATCCTCTTGGCAGAAGACTTTCTTTTTTCTATTGCTAATAATTTTGGAAGGCTAATTTGTGATTTTTCTGAGTGTTATTCTTCGTCAGCTTTTGATCATTCTAATTGCCTTATTATAATCTGCTCTCCTGCTGTGATAGAGGCTTTTAAAGTTTCATGTGCTAGGAAAGAAAGGCAAAAAAACGTGAGCAAGAATCTCTTTTTGTTCCTGAAATATTACCACCTCCACAGTTCATAACTATTAGGGGGAAGAATTCATTTTGGCCCTCTGTTGTGTCAAAGTTTCATCCTTTCAGTGGCCCCACTGTCTCTTTGTGATTTTGTTCACTTCAGCAGCAAAATGGATTGATCATTGCAGCTCCTTTTGCCACCTATTTCACATGCTACTTTAACATCCCAGAATAATGATTTGGACTCACTTCTTTAATTTCTCTATGAACTGTACATGCCTTTTTTCAATATAGTTTCTTGTATAATGAAAAAAGCATATCATCATGTTTGCCCAGGACCTGAATTTTATAATCTCAGTTTTAACATCCTTTTCTTCATTACAAGGACACGCTTACAAAGTGGAGAGTTAAAAACGTGACTGAGCTTGTGTAGATTTATCCACCATTTTGAGTTCTGTCCTTTGAGAAGTTAGAAATGGCTCCAAATAATACAGTCTCTACCACCCTCCACGTTATTCTGCCTTTCAATTTCAGACTTCAGAAGCATACACCAGAAGCTTTCAAGTAGTGCCACCAAATTCCTCATTAAAAAACCTTCCAGATTATTCTTCTAATCATTTTATAGCCCATTTAATTCAAAAGCATATATACTTAACTTTGTGATTTTTTCCATCTTTTTTTTTCCTTTGTCAGTCAACCCAAACTGCTTATGGAAACATGCTGGCTTCAATAAATATTTTCTCCAGAAGGAATCCTCAGGTTCATAGCGGATTTAGTACTCAAAACAAAAGATAAAGTAAAAAAGAACAAAGAGGAAAAAAAAAAAAGTTCTGCCCAGATATAGTCCCAGTCCATTAATTCCTAGGAGATTATCCTAATTTAAATTACAGAAATAGTCTGCCAATGGTCCGTGAATATTTTTTTAACAGCTAACTCCAACAGTAGGAGGAAGAACAAGATAACAGCACTGGCTTTACAGTGCTGCAGCACAAGTGTTCAGTGCTTGGCAGGAAACCTGGGCTCCAGTTATCCATTTTTGTTTGCAGCCAGAGCCTCTTTTGGAAAGTGTTTGGGACAGCTCTTCCCCACTGACAGTCACTGAAGTTTTACAAGTCTGAAGAAGGGACATTACTCCAGATTTTTCGAATCCCAGGATATGGAAGATATCTTCTAGATTTTAGCCTTCCTCTGTCACCTCTTTGTAAAGCTCCTATTTTGGCAAATTGTTCTTCTGTATACAAGTAAATGTTTATTTTGGACAAGAGACCCAAATGCTACATGGTCTGGTGGCTGCAGCATCTGCCCAGGAGACTGGTATTCAATTATCAGTCTCAGAAAAAAGAGCAAGAAGAAATTATTTGAAACCTTTCTTCAGCATTTCCTGTGGAGCAATTGTCTTAGAGAATTAACAAGCTGCTGAGCACAGTGTCATAACAAGGCTATGCTCTACTGGGGAAAAGGAAGTTCTACTAACAAGGTCTACTTCCAAAAATGGTTACCTCACATCTTTTCTTGTAGGACAAAACCAGTGAACAAACTTAGAAGGTTTTTATTTTTTAATTTGTGTAAATTTTTCAGTCACATAACGATGATCAAATTAAAAATTCCAGTGCATTTTGAAATTTTGTTGTCATAGTACTCTTATTTTAATTCTTCCTGTTTCATCATGTGAAAGAAACACCTTTTTTTTATATTTAAATGTATAATAATGAATTATTGTTATTATTATTATTATTATCAGCCAAAGGAAAGTAAATGCACATTGAACTTGGCATTCCAAACACAAAAATCACATTGTTCTCACTACAATTATTTTGCAGGTCTACTTAATTAAACAGCACAGATCTGTATGAACACTTTTAAACTCATCTGCAACAAGTTTCTTGTGATGCTGCTTAAGTAGAAATCTACTTAAGGTAAATCAATATAAGCCTTTTGTAAAACCATTTAGGTTTATATCAGGGCTTCAGGACTGTTACTAAATTGATTAATTTAAATGTGAGTTCAGTTAAACAGATTCTGCTTTTGTGTGGAGAGAAGGCCCAAAGGTGTGACAAAGCGTCTTATCTGCACTGACTCCATACCTATTTTTAATGTTTATTAGATTTTTAATCTTATTAATGTTGTGGCCTTCTTCTGAAAGGGCAAAACACCAACCTTGTTTATACACTCTGTGATCTATCCCTTGCTGAAAAACAACTGCCTGTTGCTAATCCCTTAACTATCTGTGATCGAATCCCAAAATAAACTTTACTGATTAAGGTGGCATGCTGCTTATTCACCTTACCCCTTGGATAATGAGCAGCTCATTGCTCAAATAATGGTTTCCTTCCAGGCTACAACTGGAAAACAAATACCCTATTAATGGTAGGTGTAGTGACAGCTGTAAATGCCACTGGTCTCTGTCACCATGATATTTTCTGGAAAAATCCCTTTGCCCAGGATTTTTCTCGTGGGAAACTGAGAAGCCTCAGAGAAAAAGGAAAACAATAATTATCTCATTTGCTTCTCCTGTGTTTTGCTGCTTTGGAATGTGGTTTGGACATTGTTTACCAACTGGTCATTGTTTCATTGGTTTCATGTGAATTGTTTTTACCTAATGACCGATCATCATCCAGCTGTGTCAGACTCTGGAGAGAGTCACAAGTTTTCATTATTATCTTTTAGCCTTCTGTCTATATCCCTTCTCTATTCTTTAGTATAGTTTAGTATAGCATTCTTTAATATAATATGGTATCATAAAATAATAAATTAGCCTTCTGAGAACACGGAGTCAGATTCATCATTGCTCCCTATGACGGGGGCCTCAAAAATACCACAGCTCTCAATTAGGGGTTCTCGGAGGTATCCCAGCAAAGCTGGGACAAGATTGCAAACCAGAAGTTGTTCATGCTTAGAGAAAGTCCACACCTGTTGGATTCTGCAGGACACAGCATGAAAATGACCAGTTAAATGAGATACTCTTAAAATATTGTGGTATAATCAGAATGGTGATACATGTCAGGTAGTCCAGGCAGCCCACAGACTGTTTAATAAATTATTTCACTGTTAGTGTTCAGTCCCCACAAAAACAGAGAAGAGTGTGTTATGACCACCTTACTAATTAATAGAAGAGTGGGGTTCTTCTGGTGCCAAAGACTCTGGATTCTGGCCCAGACATACAGTTATTTATCATTATTTTTACTGGGTTGTTCCCTAGCTTGACATTTTACCCAACACAAAGGAGAATCTCTCTTTTGTAATTTTGCAAAATGAGATGTATGACTTTAAAAGCTTAAAAAATAAAAACCTCAGCAAAGACTAGCTACTACTGCATTTCTGGGAAGTTTCCTTCCCCAACTTCTCATGAGTATGTGGAGGGGTTTAGGATTTTCAATGAAAGTAGCACAGCATCAGAATTACTTGGGAACAGTTCTGTTGTGATTTGTCCCTTTAGAAAAGACAGTGATCATGAAACCATGACCTTCAAAACCCTGGGACCTCAAATCTGTGGAACAAACTTCAACCACAATGAACTGACTGCCTCCAGGCACATTTCCCTGAAATTAAATGACTTTGTGGTGACATATAAGCAGATTTATTGAAAGGCTGCTGTGATATTTTCAGGTACGTCGTCATTATCATCACATTTTTCTGTGCAACAGCATGGAATAATGCATGGGAATAAACATTCTTCTAACACTAAGTTGAATTCAGAGAATAAATATAAG